TTTTGGCATAGATTCTAAACAAACACACTAAAGCCATATTCTTTAATCTTCTTAGATTCATAAATGAGCTATTTCCTTACTTAAGTACAATTAGGAATGGCTTATTTTCCCAATTTTAAGTGAGTTTCTGAAACATATCACATGACGCAGAGGAGGAGTGGAAATTGGAAATTGTTGCTGCTGTGGTAGTTCATGAATCATACCATCTTGCTTTTCCTCCATAATTTGCTAATAGTGTCTGAAATCGAAGACCACCACAACAAATTAACATATAATTCAATCAGAGTTAAAAGAATATTACCCAACCCAGCACTGTCGGTTTCCAGCAAGCATATGGTGATAAATTAGGAAATCTTTTGTATATTTAAGATTGACCTCTCAGAACATTTAGACGTCTATGTAACACTGCCTTTAGGATAAAAATAAGATGCGGACGGGTCTGGAGTTGTTTACAGATATTTTAACACACACTTGAACTAAGTACGTAGAAAAATAAATGTTTTTACACATGTATAAATTATTCCACCCCCCTAGAGTCATTGCTCTTAGGTAGACACAGGAGACGGATCTTTTGCATGTAAACACAGTTGGTTTCCTTGTATGAAAGGCTCTCTGGCTTTTTCTTTGTTTCCCCTTCAGACTTTGTGGGGGCCACTGTGTAGACATCTTGAATCATGCATTTCCTAGTCTAATTATTCCAGCGAACTAAGCCTGCTGGGCATTAAGGCTGTGGTTGGTGCAATTACTACTCTGAGATCAATGTTCTCTGCTATTTCATTATGTTTAAGATCACTAAGGAAAGATTTTAAATCCAAAACAGTGCCTTCAGAGCCCTGGGAATTCAGACAAGGCACTGCTTCTCCTGGTATCACCTACATTTTAGCATTACTGCATATTGTTTGTGGAATTCTGTAAAAATGTTAATAAAACAAATACTTAATTTCTAAAAATGTTAATAAAACAGATATTTACCTAATGACATTTTTAGAGCAGAGGTGAAGGGATGCTTACACACAGGGTGTCCCAATCAGTGTAGAAATTGTTGCAGGAGATTATAAGGTCAGGCATCACATACCTTCCAGGCATTCCTGGCGCCTTTCCTTCCTCCTCCCACATAACTCTTCCCAGCACAAAATTTCCCTTTCCCAGGTCAGAAAGGAAAAGTACACACCCTTTTCGCTCCCTACCCTGCTTCTGCCTTTTCCACACGTTGTTCTTGTTGCACTTTCATTTCTCTGTTCTGGTCCATCGATCCTAAAGGCTTGGAGTCCTGCCCACTCAAACCAAGTACACCCTCTTGGGAGGTTCAGAAGTTCTCTTTCTTCCTCAATGACCAGCTTCAAGCTACCACTTCTTTTCTCACTTTCCTTTTTTGAAAACCAGCTTTACTGTGTTCATGATCATTTCTGAGATGTCTTATAAAAAAGCATCCTTCCCCATGCTTCCTTTTTTTTTTTTTTTCAAGCCTGCCTTCCAGCTGGCTAGGAGGAGAAAGGTCCCTGTTGAGCTGGGACCTGAGATTTTATTCATTTTCCCTCCATTACAGGAACGCTGCTCCCACAGTCGTCACTGGTAGTAGAAATTCTGCTTTTCTCAATCAAGCCTATATTCCACTCATCTGTTTTCTCTAGCCTCTCTCCTCACTCCTGGGAATGCTGTGTATTTGTCATACTTATCCCAATTATTAAACAAAAAGGACACTTAACTACCATCGATTGAATTCCCAACCTAAGTGTCCTTTCCTCCCCAAAAGTAACCTCAAATTCTCCTTTAGGCTTAGTGATCCCAGAAGAATGAAACATTCTTAACTATTGGCAGCGACATGCAAATAACCACACACATCCTTCTTCAAATACTCTGCTGAGGTGATTCCTAAAAAAAAAGCACTTGCAAATATACCGTTATTAGGATTTTGTCTTTTATGTCTTTCCATAGTTACATCTTCACTAAGATAGCAGCTTTTCAATGAATTTGATCCTTTCCTGAAGTAATCGTTCAAAATGTCTCTAATCACCACCCTAACTAGGTTTCCTTTAGGGATGGTGGCTAGCACTGCTCATCCCAAATTGTGAACGTCTATCTTAAACCCATGCAGCATTCTTATCCTATTGTGATGAAATCCACAGGGTTCAAAAGTTAATTATTCCATGAATGTATACCAGGTGCTGGGGAAGGCTGGGAAGGAGAGGCTGGATGGTACAGATGATCGAGATCCTGAGGGTCTAGTTGAGCAAAGACATATCGAACACAAAACCAAAAATAACAACATGAAGTCAATGGAATAATAGTGTGAAGTCCTCAAGGGAGCCTAGAAGAGAACACAGTCCCATAATGGAAAGAGGAGGCTAAGAGGAAGGGAGTTTCACAGCAGACAAGGAGAAGGGGCATTTTTGGCTAAGGAAACAGCCTTGGAATGTAGGCTGTACTTAGAGACCATTTAGCAGTCTGGCAGAGCAAGACGGGAAATTCGATAATTCTATGGGGAAGGAGACAGACACAGAACCTTCACCCCAAATCCTACCATCTGGGGGCCTAGAATCCTTCTTTGTTTCATGTCAGTTAGGCCAATGAAAGTACTTTTAAAGAAAAATTTTAAGATTTGCATGGCTAGTGAAATCTTTGGGATTATACGAAGAAATCGCAGTAATAGTTATAATTATTATAACTATTATTATTATTTTGTCAAACTCCAAGTGATTTAAGACACACATAGTATTTTAAAGTTCCTTCGCTGAAGGAACTTTAAAGACCATTTCATCCAGCCTACTTATTTTACAGATGAGGAAATTGAGGCCTAGAGAAAAGTTCCTTGCTGCAAATCTACTGCTAGCTAGGAACAGAGCCAGGCTGGAGCACAGATCTCTCCTGCTTCCTAAGCCAGATCACTTGCCATGAAAATGTGTCAATCTGTGCACCACCCCCTTCCCCACCACCGACTTGTCCTATTTCTCAGAGAAGAAAAAACAATGGTTAGAGTTTAAGAGGTTTGCCTGAAGTCACCCAGCTCCTGGTGGCTCAGATGGGACTCAAACCCTGGACAGAGCCAACACTCTCCTGTAAACATTCTTACTAAAACTAAACCCATTCACGAGGGATGGAGCATGAGACAGAAGAGTGAGTGTGGTGATTAGAGCCCCCCAACCCACGTATCTCCAGTCATGACCTAGGTAAGAAATACAGGGGCTGAAAGGGATCTGCTTTGCCCCAGCTGCTACCAGCCTAACCATGCACAGCTAAGCCCCAAGGAGTTCTCTTTCTTCGCTAAGGGCTTAGCTGCAATGTGGTTTAAATTAGACATTTCTTGCCTGAGTAGAACAAATCACTTAGGTTATATGCTGACAAAAAAGGAACAGTCTGCATGCTTGGAAAGCTTAGGGGGAATTAAATTATGTGCTGTCACTTCAGAGTTGTTCCTCTGTCCTGTACACCACTACCTCTCAATTGCCTGCGGGAGCCGCAGAGCCTTGCGTGCAAGCTGTGCCGTAACCCAAGGCTTAACATAAACTTCGGGCTCTCAGGTCATTGGGAAATAACAGGTATATCCGGTTGGGCCTTTTGTGCTTGTCTGCACGCAAATTAAAAGCTCGTGCAAAGCTGAACTCCTTGGAGCCTCTAGTTACAGAGAAGGGAGGATGTCTTGGAATGGAATTCTCACACAATTGCCCTGTTTGTTTTTCCAGGGAATTGGGTGATAGTGTGTGTTTGTAAGAAGTTCCGCACCTCTGGGAGGCTGAGCTCAGAAGGGGTGGGATGTGGAGGTGGCCCTGTGCCAGGTGATCCTCTAGGGAGCAGGGCTCCAAAGGACCCCACGTCTGAACTTTGAAGGGACAGCAGTGCTTAAAGGGCAGAGTGGAGGGGTTTATTTTGGGGGGGGAGGATTGAAGATCTCAAACTTTCTGGCTGGCAGCA